TTCAAGGGTGCTTCCAACCCAAAAAGCAAAGGGAAGAAAACATAGGAGATTAACCCTGAGGATGAGGCCAGCGCTTACGTCCTTGCCGAGGCTGGGGCACCTTGGACTCCTTCTTTTTCGAGGGCTGACAAGTCCATCCTCCATGTTGGTGATTCTATGATCACTAACCCATCTGCAGCACTGGCCGTTGCTCGGGGAATGTGGCTCCCCATGGATGAAAAAATTATCGGCAAAATGGGGTTGGAACAGCTACTCCCATCTGCCCCTGTTCGAGCCATAGAGGTTTGCTCCTTTATTCATTTCCATTGTCATAATTGTCTTACAAACTTTCTTACATTGTTATTATCTCATGACGCAAGGCTTGTATCATACTATGGCCCTCTGTGCTAATGCTGAGGCTCAGTCTCTTTCTCTTAAGAAGTTGGAGAAAGACCCTAGTAATTCTGAGAAGAAGGCATCCCATGCCATTGCTAATGCACAAATTGCATACGAGGCTCGAGATGTTTAAAAGAAGCGTCTGGCTGCTTCTGATGCCAAAGTTGAGTCGTTGGAGACTGAAGTTCAACACTTGAATGACGCCCTTAGCACCTGCATCGTTGCCAGGAGGGAAATGTAAGGTCGTTACTCCAGTCTGGTGCGCTTGTCAAGTGCAAAAGCTTACCGGTCCGGCTTCAATCAAGGCTCAGGCCCCAAATTGATGGATCCTGATGCCTTTGATGTGAACATGAGGGTGTCCTTCCCTTATACAGAGGGTCCGAAGGCTCAGGAGGCTGAGGTGCTTTTTGCTGAAATGGTGAAGGCTCACCCGAAAGATCCTCCGAGCTCATCAACTCCTATAACTCCTGGTCCTTCAATTCCTCCACCTGCAAGTCCAGCTGTAGTAGATGCTTTTGAATCTGCCCCGTTTGATCCGAAGAGGAAGTAGGATCAAGCAAACATATATATATATATATATATATATATATATATATATATATATATATATATTTTTTTTTTTCCCTCCTTGTAATGAAACAATTTTGAGAATGAATGATATATCCTTGTTTCTTAAGCTGTGTTTCTTTTATTCTGCTTCGACTGAGTATGCTTGTATGCTTCTAATATTGCACTCACTCTGTTGAGAGATTTTTTTTTTAATAGAAGGAAGGTACTCTTCTTGAAGGTTCCTTATTTGTTTTAGTCCAAAGCAAAATAAATAAGGGGTTTTCCAAGCCAGACACTCAGTGTCCAAGGTGAGGTTTTTGCCGAGCCGGACACTTAGGGTCCGAGGCGAGATTTTTGCCGAGCCGGACACTTAGGGTCCGAGGCGAATGAATTATTCCCCGGCGCCGAGCCTGAAGGAGGTTTTGCCGAGCTGGACGCTTAGGGTCCGAGGCGAGATTTTTGCCGAGCCGGACACTTAGGGTCCGAGGTGAGATTTTTGCCGAGTCGGACACTTAGGGTCCGAGGCGAATGAATTACTCCCCGGCGCTGAGCCTGAAGGGAGGTTTTGCCGAGCCGGATGCTTAGGGTCCGAGGCGAATGAATTACTCCCCAGCGCCGAGCCTGAAGGAGGTTTTCATACATATATTCTTTTCTTCATCGTTTTTTTTTTTTTAAACAACTTGCCAAGGACTCAAAAATGATAGGAGGCCAAGAAAGCGAGTAACAATAGTTGCGAAGTTTCCTATTTGTTTACTTTGGAGACTTTACTCCATTGATACCCCCTTCTTGGCAACTATATGTCATGGACTACGCATATATTAACCATATTTCCTTTTTATTTTTATCCGATGTGGGACAAAGAGCTTTAACCATAGGTCAAAACGCATGGTTTTTAATAACTTGCTTCCAACATTGCTTTGCATAAAAGCATAAAATTGTGTAGTATGAAAATTTCTTTGCATAAAATTTTAAAATTTCAAATTTCTTTCTTTGCATAAAAATTTTCAATTTTTTTTTCTTTGCATAAAAATTGCTTTCTTTGCATAAAAATTGCTAATGCATACTGCGATTCTTTACATAAAAATTGCTAATGCATACTGCGACGCAAAATTGAATAATCATAGAATGATGGTATGACCCCCATTTTTATGGAAAGAAACAAATAGAAGCAAAATAAAGTAAAGCATGGCTAACTGTGGGCTTACGCAGCCTTATTTGTGAAGAATTCTTAATAAAATTGACAAACTTAACTAATGGAAATACCGTTTAAGGTGTATTGCATTCCAAGGACGCACAATGGGATGTCCGTTAGCTTCGGCCAAACGATATGCTCGCTTCCCCACTACTTCGGAAATCCTGTAGGGTCCGGTCCAATTAGGTTCCAGTTTCTTTACATGAGCTATCTCTTGCTTCAGAACCCCAATCGCCTATCGCAAAGCTCCGGAATCTGACACGTTTGTTATAATTGTTGTGCAGCATCCCTTTTTTCATCGAGGAGGTCGAGACTATGTTCGAGTTGCTGACTATTGTTTCCTTCAAGCAAAAAGGATGTCCGAATGGTTGGAATCGCTGCTTCGGTTGGAATCACTGCTTCGGAGCCATAAGCCATGGCAAAGGGACTCTCCCCCGTAGGCCACCGTGGTGTGATTCGGTACGCCCAAAGCACCTGAGGGAGATTCTCGTACCATTTCATTTTGAGTTTCTCCAATTTCTTCTTTAAACTACTGAAAATGGTCTGATTAGTTATTTCAACCTGTCCATTCCCTTGTGGATGACTAACTGCAGCTAACTTTTATATAATTCCATGCTCAGCAAAGAATTTTCTTGTACTTCTATTGTCGAGATTCTTACCATTGTCCATCATAATAACTTTTGGGACCCCAAACCGGCAAATGATGTTGTTCCAAAGGAAAGTTTTTACCTGCTCATGGGTCACACTTGAGTAGGCCTCGGCTTCTACCCATTTAGTGAAATAATCTGTAGCCAGTAGCACGTACTCCTTTTGTTCCACAGTCTTGGGTAACGGGTCCACCATATCAATCCCCCATTATGCGAATGGCCATGGATTTGCCATTGCATGTAAATCTTCGGCAGGTTGATGCTTCATGGGACCGTGACGTTGATATTTGTCATACCTCTGAGTATACTCTTCTGCATTCTGAGCCAAGTACAGCCAGAAGTAACCTTGAGTCAGGACTTTATGCGCGAGGGATCTACCCCCAGAATGGTTGCCACAATCTCCGTCATGGATTTGTTTCAACACCACAAGAGCCTCAGTAAAGCTTAAACATTTCAGGTAAGGACCTGAAAATGACTTTCGGTATAACTGATTATTAATGATGGCATATTTAGCTGCGGTGAGACGGAGCTTCCGTGCTTCGGACTTCTGGTCTGGAAGAACTCCATGCTTGAGGTAGGCTTCCAATGGATCAATCCAGTAGGGTTCTTGAGGAATAAATAGAATCACCATTACTTCCTGCGGAGGATTAATACTGGGCTCGTCCAGGACTTCAATCGGCACAATCCGAGTCAGATCTTCGTTTGAGGATGACGCTAATGTGGCCAATTGATTTGTTTCGGCATTCTCAACACGAGGTACCTGATAGAATTCGATCTAATCGAATCCCCGTGCAACATTCTCTATAGCTTCTTTATATGCTTTCATTCTTTCCTCTTTGGGATGGTACTGACCTGTCACTTGATTTATAACAAGCTGTGAGTCACTAAAAACCTTTAAGCAACGTACCTGGAGGCTGCTAGCCAATCGAAGACCAGCAAGTAATGCCTCGTACTCGGCCTCATTGTTCGTAGTCGGGAACTTCAAACAGATAGATTGCTGCAGCTTAGTGCCTTTGGGTGTTGACATTACAACACCTACCTCTGCACTTGCTTGATTCGAGTAGCCATCGACTCGAAGTTCCCACTGTGGTTCAGGGTGTACCGGCTCTTCGGGAGTGTCTTCATACTCGAGAAGAAAGTCTACTACGGCTTGTCCTTTGTGCGACACCTTTGGCTCATAAGTTATGTCGAAGGAACAAAGCTCGATAACCCACTTGGTAATTCTCCCAGATAAATTGGGCTTAGAGAGTATACCCCGTATAGGATAGTTGGTGAGTACCACAATGCTATGAGATTCAAAATAATGCCGAAGCTTCCTCTTGGCATAGATTAAGGCTAAGATGACTTTTTCTGCTTTACTATATCGCGTCTCAGCATCTGTCATGGTCTTACTTGTGTAGAAGACTGGATATTGTCTCTTTCCTTCTTTTCTAATCAATACTGCACTTGTCGTTATATTAGAAATTGCCAAATACATAATAAGAACCTCCCTGGGTTTTGGAGCGGATAGAATTGGTGGTTCGGCCATGTAACCTTTCAATCGACTGAGGGCCTCCTGCTGTTGAGGTCCCCATATATCTTTATTCTTAGATCGTATAGCATTGAAAAATGGTTTGCACTTATCTGACAATCGGGGATATAATCCAGCTGAGGGCTGCGATCCGACCAGTAAGAACCTGCACCTCCCTGCGATTTTTTGGTTCCTGATTCTGGATTAGGGCCTTAGCCTGAGCCGGACTTACCTCTATCCCTCTTTTATTCACTATGTGGCCGAGGAATTAACCTGATGATACCGCGAAGGAGCACTTGGATGGATTCAGCTTCATGTTGTACTTCTTCAAGGTATTGAAAACTTCCTGTATATGCTTCGGATGATCTTCTTTCTTCACAGTTTTAACCACCATGTCATCTATATATGCTTCAACTGTCTTTCCCAGCAGATTATCGAATATCTTGTTGACAAGGCGTTGATAAGTAGCTCCAGCATTCTTCAGTCCAAAGGGCATGACCCTGTAACAATAAGTCCCCTTTTCTGTAATAAAAGCCGTTTTTTCTTCATCTTCGGGGTTCATAGGAATTTGATTGTATCCTGAGTATGCATCTAGGAATGTCAGCCTCTCGTAGCCGGTGGTAGCATCAACCATCTGGTTTATCTTGGGCAGAGGGAAACTATCTTTAGGGTAGGCTTTGTTAAGGTTGGTATAGTCTACACAAACCCTCCATTTTCCATTCTTCTTTTATACGACCACCACGTTTGACAACCACTGTGGATATTGCACTTCTCGAATGAAACCTGCTTGCAACAATTTGCTCACTTCTTCAGCTATAATGTGATTGCGTTTAAGGGTAAACCTTCGGTGTTTCTGCTTAACCGGTTTGAACTCCAGATCCACCTTCAAACTATGGCAGGAAACTAAGGGATCGATCCCTACTATGTCCGAGTGATCCCACGTAAAGGCATCTGTATTGCTCTGGATAACCTCAATTAATGCCTCATTTTCTTCGGATGTGGAAGAAGAGCCTAGATAAGTAACCTTCTGAGGGTCGCCGAGGATAACTTCTACGGCTTCGAGGGTCTCCTTGGTGGGCTTCGCAATTTCCTCTTCCTCCTCTACCTTAAGATACTTGGGCAGAGGGCTCTGTAATTTCTATTTGGGTACAGTTTTGGAAACCATACCTGGTTGTTGTTGAGTCGACACCCTCTTCGCTTCAACTAGTGTCAACATATAGCATTCATTCGCTGCGACTTGATCGCCCCACAGATTAATTACTTCTTTTCCGTCCAGAGATAAGCACCGCATCACCTGGTGAAGGGACGGAACTCCTCTCATCCGATGTATCCAGCCTCTTCCCATAATGAGATTGTAAGAATGATGGATCTCTGTTAAAACAAAGTTCTCCTTCAGAGTCATTTTCGCCGTGGTTATAGATAAGTCTATTACTCCAAGGGGATCTACTCTTGTGCCATTGAATCCCATCAACGGGCTGGAGGTAGGTCGAATTGATGATGACGGGATCTCTAACTGATCAAAGACCGTCTTTGTGATTATGTTGGTGCTACTTCCTGGATCTACCAAAACCCTCCTGATCATACAATTGGCCACTAAAATACTGATGACCAATGGATCCTCGTGGGGGAGTTGCACTCTGGATAGGTCGCCATCTCCGAATCCAATACTGATGCTTCCCAAATTGATAGCATTGACTGAGGATATCTTCCTGAGCTTGTGGGTCGCCCTCAGTCTGGATCTGTACACCTCCCTGGACTCTTGATCATCTTCAGACTTGCCATGTATTGCATGGATGACTTTTACTTGCGTACCTTTGACCTTGCTGGGATAGACCTCGCAGGGCTTTGTATACTCCTTTGTCATGAGGTAATCCGTCAACTCACCTCTGGCGATCATATTCTCTACCTGTCGCCTGAGGGATCTGCAATCATTAGTTGAATGCCCATAATCTCGATGATAAGCGCAATGCTTGCTTTTGTCCCTTTGCTCCAAGGGTTACTTTATTGGCTGCGGAGTTGTGAACTTCGTCTTATTCTCTTGGAAGAGCCGAGCCGAGGTAGTTCGGAGAGGTGTAAATCCTTCTTCTACCCTTTGTTTCTTTTCAGGTGCGTGGGTGACCGGCGTTGAGGAACGTTGGCTTTTTTGAATCTTTGGAGTTGGAACTCTTTCTCGAGGCTTGTTTTCCACTGTCACGAGGGTGGCGTGCTGCGCTCGGTGGGCTATATTTTCCTTAAGCCGAATATAGATCTGGGCCCTGGCATTTAGAGTCTGCATGTCGGGAGGAGAATACTTGACTAAGGAAGTGTAGAACTTCGTCCCCTGAATCATCGCGAGTTTAAATGTCTCTATAGCAGTTGCGGGATGACAATCCGCTATTTCTGAGGCCTCCATGTTGAATCTTGACAAGAAATTCTATAATGTTTCCCCCCTTTTCTGCCTTACGGTGAAGAGGCTGGCAATGCTCTTCTTTTGCTTCTTATTTACGTAATACTGTGCCAGGAATATGGTGCATAGAGTTACGTAATCCGGGATGGACTTATGCGGTCTATTCCTGAGCCACTCTAGTGCTGCTCCTGTCAAACTGGTAGGAAAAACTCTGCACATCCAAGGGTCATTACGATCATCCAAAGCCATCTTTTGAGCGTAATGATCTAGGTGCCGAGAAGGATCCCCTGTTCCATCAAACTGGGTGAAAGAAGGCATGCTAAATTTCTTGGGCCTCTCAACCAGATACACATCGTCAGTGAAAGGAGTTTTGACCAAGGAATTTTTGTGTTCTCTAGCCATCTCGGCAGGTGTCTGAATCTTCAGGAGTCTCTTCTCGCCAAAGGCATCCTGAACACCTGCACCATCTGGGATTCCATTGGACCACACCGTACGCTTATGGCTGGATTCGATTTGCTCATCCTGCGTGCGACGAGGGATGTTATCTAAAGCCGCAGCCTCGGATCTTGCCTTCCGTTGTTGCTGAACCTCATTTGGCTGAGCCTTATTGGGTCGTGCCCCATTAGGTGGAGCCTCATCAGGCGAAAGTCCAGTAATTGGAGGAATATTCTGACTAGGGGGTGCTGCTGTGTCACCCACTGGTGGCGATGGTGCCAACTGAGCCAGCGCCGTTTGCAGAGTGTTATTCTGCTGTTGAAGCAAGGCGATCTGAGCCACGTTTACTTCGTTTGCCTGACGAAGTACGTTAAATTGGTGTAGAAACTCTTCACGCATCTTTTGCATCAACTCCGTCTGTTGATTCGCTGAAGATCCTCCGTTCGACATTCTTGATGGTAGCTGCAGGATTCACTTGTGAAACAAAAACAAGAATGGGAATATATTTGCACACGTTTCCCACAGACGGTGCCAAAGTGTAGGTGCAAAATTTCGCCCAACCAATAATGATTAGGAGAAATAACACAACTCACTCAATAAACAATAAAAATAAACAAGAACAGTGTATAGAGAGGCGTAGAATTGCTTTTTTTCTTTATTGGAGGTCTAAACCTCTATTTATATATAAAAGTTCGAAGAATTATGGTAGGACTCGCGTTACTTGTCCTCTAATTCTTTCCATATATAAATTTCTTTACAAATAGAATTCTTTCCTCTTTATAATTCTTCCCTTACCAGATTTTCCTTACACAGAACTTGCTTCTTTTGGTGAATCCTTTTCCTTGCAGGACCGGCTCCTTCTTTAAATGGATTTGGGCCGTATTTAACTTGGTCCACATGACTCTATTCATGGGCTAGAAGTTTGTCATTAGTGACATTGGGCTGCTGGCATCTTGATTCGGGCTTTAGTAAAGCTGGTAGTTAGATAACAGTAGTTTTGGGCTAATGACCAACTCAACTTGAGCTTTTAACGAGATGGGCTTTGAACTTTATCGAAGATAAAGTTATATTTATGATGACGTGGACTGCTCTTATTGGAGGGAGATTTTTCCCTCCACACTCAATTTTGCGGATCCAAATTCGGAGTAAGTTGGTAGGAATTGCATTGAAGGGGCAAAGTCCCCTACCTGAAGGTGGGGATTCGGGGGATTTAATATCAGTTCTCTCACCACTAACCAAGAAGACAAATCGGTGTTATCATTTTTCTATTGTTTGTATCTATCCTTTCTGTGAATAATTTTTTTTTCTTTTTTAATGATCCCTCTATCCTCTCCTACTCCACCCCACACTCTCCACTCCAAAAACTTGGAACGAAATCTTATTTTCTGATAACCAAAAGTATGTGTGTTAACATGTGAGATATTAAAGATAACACAAATCATGATCGTCTTCTCTTTCCATGATCACAACATAATCGCTGTAGATTGGAACCCCAAAACCTCCACTACGCATTGTAATATCCATTCAAGCATCAAGGATCTGATCTTTAATAAAAACAACCTACCAAATAATTGAAGCCCAAATCCAGTCCGAGTATCAAGTTTTTCTCTTTTTTATTTTTTATTTTTAATTTTTATTTTTTAATATTACACATTTTCTTCCTATGGAGGACCTATTATTCTATAACCTTCCTTCATCACATAAAAACACAACTTGGCATTTAGAGTGCAATACATGCAATCTTAATTTAGTAAGACACCAATTATTTAAGAAAGATAAAAATGGTTTTGCAAAGACTAGATGAACTTGTTACCTATGTGATTTATAAAATGTACGGTCAAAGAATTATGTGTTTCATGCAGACAAATTATATACGTTTCATGCTGCTAATTTTTCTATTTTCACAGTGGTTTGATCAAGATAAAGCAAATAACCAACTTTGTTCACTGTAACTCTGATATAAACATATGTTTCTAAAAATAAGGGTTAACTGTTTTAACAGACTATTTATGATTTTATTTCACTTGGTTTGACTTATTCATTCGTTCACTGAGGGTACTTAGAACTTAGAAGCTAGGTGGAGTCTGGGTTATAGTATTATTGTGAAGATATATGACAGTTGGATGCATGGAGTCTCTAAACATATACCCCAGATGGTTTCCATCGGCCCATTTCATCGTGGCAAAAAACACTTGCAAGTCACGGAAAAGGATAAACTGAGGTACTTGCAGTCATTCCTTACTCGTACTAGCATGAGTTTGAAGAGTTGTATAAGAGTGGTAAAGGAGTTGGAAGAGAGAGCTCGAAGCTATTATGCCGAAATCATTATGCTTACTAGTGATGAATTTGTTGAAATGATTCTTTTGGATAGTTGTTTCATCATTGAGGTCGTTTGTACGAAAAATGATTTCAAACAAATCGATTACCTGGATAAGCAAATATGGATGAATAATTAATTTTCTCCATGACTTGATTTTAATTGAGAATCAGCTTCCCTTCTTTGTTCTTGAAAGAATCTTCAACCTATCCATCTCTTCTCCCTACAATATAACAGATTCCTTCCTCATGCTTTCAATCAAGTACTTGGCAGATTATCGTTGTGTCAGTAACAGAGAAGAGTCATTTTCAAGTGGTGAGACAAAGCATTTTGTTGATTTGTTGAGGTTATGTCACCTACCACCATCTCTAAGGTCACCACCTCACGGTGGAGTCAAGTACAAGCCAATACACAATGCAACAGAGCTTCAGGAGGCAGGAATGGAGTTTAGGCATAGGAAGGGCTCAAGCAAGCGCATGCTTGACCAAGCACATAGCAGCAGGGAAGTGTTGGAAATCCCGCAGTTGGGCATATGTGACCGGACAGAATCTTTCTTTCTAAACCTCGTGGCATTGGAGCAATTTCATTGTCCCTTGGATAGTTACATAATTGATTATATTCATTTCATGGATAACCTTATCGACACTGCTAAAGATGCAGATTTACTTATCCAAGATGGAGTTTTTGTGAACTGCCTAGGTGATAGCTTTGCAGTGGCAAGTCTCTTTAATAAACTCACCCCAAAAGTGACTATCTGGACTCGGAACTATTACTTTTGTGATATAAGTGAACAACTGAATAACTATTGCAACGAACCATGACACAAGTGGAAGGCGACACTAAGACGTGATTATTTCAGCACTCCATGGAGTATTGCTCCTAGAATCGCTGCAGTGATCCTGCTTGGACTACACTTATACAAACTATATGTGCTATAGTCTCCCTTTAGGTTCAATATGCATACATGTGTCTACTTCCATTCAGTATTGTACTGACTTTTTTTCCCAATTACTGCTAGTTTTAACATATTATCTAATTTATTTTCAAAATTGTTGTTGTCTTTCATTCTGTATTGTACTGACTTTCCCAATTACTAGAAGTTGAGCATTCAAGCCCCAATAGAAAAATGTACTGCTGAGTATATTTAAGTAATTATTAAAAGTTTGATTTTATGTGCCATTTCTTTTCAGCTTATTTTAGAGAGTTGTTTTATTAATTTTTTATTTGTTATCATATTTTAGGGAAATATGAAAAAATAGTTTCTTTACATTTTTATTCTCTTTTCTTAATCACTTTGTGGAGGGAAAAATCTCCCTCCAATAAGAGCAGTCCACGTCATCATAAATATAACTTTATCTTCGATAAAGTTCAAAGCCCATCTCGTTAAAAGCTCAAGTTGAGTTGGTCATTAGCCCAAAACTACTGTTATCTAACTACCAGCTTTACTAAAGCCCGAATCAAGATGCCAGCAGCCCAATGTCACTAATTGTAATACTCCTAATTTTAAAAGGATAGTCTCGGTATTTATTTATTTTTTTTTATTGTATTTTTTTAATTGTTTAATTGATTATTTGACTAACTGTTTATGTGTTTAATTGAATTAAGTGTTACTTGATTAATTGGCTACTTATTTATGTGTTATTTGTATTTTGTCTAGGTGTTATTCGTATTATTTGTTTAATTAGATTGTGTGCTTAAATGATGTATTTGATTAATTGTAATTAATTGTAAATTAAATGATTAAATGTTTTATTTTATTTTATTTTATGGTTATGGTTAGTGGTAATGGGTTAACTAATTGGGTCTTATGGACTACTTGGATAGGAGGTTAGATGAGTATGGATAATTACCCATAGATAGTTCTATATGTATATATATAGATATATATGTATATACATATATATAAAAAGGAAAGTAATTTATTAATATTATAGTAACTTTAGTATTAATAAATAATCTGATGTATATATTTTATATATTTATATAATAAGGATACGTAACATGTTTTAAGTTACCTTTTAAATATTATGGTAACTTTAGTATAAATAAATAATCTGATGTATATATTTTATTTATTTAATGAGGATACAGATAGATTATATACGTAACATGTTTTAAGTTACTTTTTTAATATTATGGTAACTTTAGTATAAATAAATAATCTGATGTATATATTTTATTTATTTAATGAGGATATAGATAGATTATATACGTAACATGTTTTAAGTTACCTTTTAATATTATGGTAACTTTAGTATTAATAAATAATCTAATTTATATATTTTATTTAATTAATAAGGATATACATAGATTATATACATAACATATTTTAAGTTACCTTTTTAATATTTTTATTTTTTATTTTTCTTTATTAAGTTGACTTGGATTGGGAAAAGGAGTACAACGAATCCTAATACAGGCTCTAAGTTTTAAGAGACGCAACGCGGAAGTCACATAACGAAAGACACTCCTAAGGACACTTGAACCTGAAGTGCTCTAATACCAACTGTGATACTCCCGAATTTCTGAATGCGGGTTGGCCAGGCCCACGCCCGAATACCCGAGGATATCAAAACAAATTGATAATAAACGAACACAGAGTACAAAAGAATAAAGAAGAATAAATAAAATGCTAACAAGAAACTAAAATGATAATCTAATAATAAACCTCATAATATATTTCCATTAATTAATAAACTCTTCTGATACAACTGATCCTCCAAAATACAACTCGAGAATCCATACTGTGTGGACCCCTAGAAAATCTAAACTAAACAAATGACAGTAATCTAAAACAGGAAACTGAATCATAAAGGAACTCCTATGTAGCATCGGAAGAATGAAGTAGACTGATCCCCGCTCAGCACGAACAACCTCTACTCGTGACGAACACCTGAAAAATAATGGTGGGTCAGGCCCACAAACAAGTTCTACTCTACTACAGTCCAAGCAGAGATCCGATACACGTATACATCCTAATCAATCCAACAGTAACTAGTAGTCCGTATATATATATATATATACACATTAAAGGAACCTCACTAGACTATAGGGTTGTCTCAACCTGAATAGTAGGCAACATGCAAAACGCACGTATAGTGGGCATGAGTACCTAGACCTACCAGGGTACACAACTACACTATATCTAGCTACACATCCCTGGCGATATACGCGCCCTAACCATTGATCCTGAGACTCAAGCTCATATCATGGCACCATACTTATATATATAAAATCTAGTAACCATCCTATCCAGTATAAATTAATCCTCCATAAGTCATTCAACTTGTTCAGCTCACCTGACTTGAATATAAGTAGGACTTAACATTTTAGTTAATCCATTCCCTTATATAATAAATTAATCATCCATAAGTCATTCAACTTGTTCAGCTGACCTGACTTAAATATAAGTAGGACTTAACATTTTAGTTAATCCATTCCCTTATATAAAATAGGTAGGACTTAACTAATAAGTTAATCCATCCCTAGAATGCCACCGTCCCATACCGGTGCATTAAATCACACAATCCAACAATTGATGTAACAATTAAGGAAATGCATCAAACATTCCATAAATAACTATGATAAATATGATATCAAGTTATCACATAATAGGAATGACTTGTTATTTCTTTAAACTTCCTATATCATATGTCCTACACAAACTGAATCTTATACATGAAGTCAAGTCAGCTGAACAAGTTGAATGACTTATGGAGGATTAATTTATACTGGATAGGATGGTTACTAGATTATATATATATAAGTATGGTGCCATGATATGAGCTTGAGTCTCAGGATCAATGGTTAGGGCGCGTATATCGCCAGGGATGTGTAGCTAGATATAGTGTAGTTGTGTACCCTGGTAGGTCTAGGTACTCATGCCCACTATACGTGCGTTTTGCATGTTGCCTACTATTCAAGTTGAGACAACCCTATAGTCTAGTGAGGTTCCTTTAGTGTGTATATATATATATATATACGGACTACTAGTTACTGTTGGATTGACTAGGATGTATACGTGTATCGGATCTCTGCTTTGACTGTAGTAGAGTAGAACTTATTTGTGGGCCTGACCCACCATTATTTTTCAGGTGTTCGTCACGAGTAGAGGTTGTTCGTGCTGAGCGGGATCAGTCTACTTCATTCTTCCGATGCTACATAGGAGTTCCTTTATGATTCAGTTTCCTGTTTTAGATTACTGTCATTTGTTTAGTTTAGATTTTCTAGGGGTCCACACAGTATGGATTCTCGAGTTGTATTTTGGAGGATCAGTTGTATCAGAAGAGTTTATTAATTAATGGAAATATATTATGAGGTTTATTATTAGATTATCATTTTAGTTTCTTGTCAGCATTTTATTTATTATTCTTTATTCTTTTGTACTCTGTGTTCGTTTATTATCAATTTGTTTTGATATCCTCGGGTATTCGGGCGTGGGCCTGGCCAACCCGCATTCGGAAATTCGGGGGTATCACACTAATGACAAACTTCTAGCCCATGAATAGAGTCATGTGGACCAAGTTAAATGCGGCCCAAATCCATTTAAAGTAGGAGCTGGTCCTGTAAGGAAAAGGATTCACCAAAGGAAGCAAGTTTTGTGTATGGAAAATCTGGTAAGGGAAGAATTATAAAGAGGAAAGAATTCTATTTGTAAAGAAATTTATATATGGAAAGAATTAGAGGACAAACAACGCGAGTCTTATCATAATTCTTCTAACTTTTGTATATAAATAGAGGCCTACACCTCCAATAAAGAGAAAAAGCAATTCTACGCCTCTCTATACACTGTTCTTGTTTATTTTTATTGTTTATTGAGTGAATTGTATTATTTCTCCTAATCATTATTGGTTGGGCAAAATTTTGCACCTACACTTTGGTGCCGTCTGTGGGAATCGTGTGCAAATATATTCCCATTCTTGTTTTTGTTTCACAAGTGAATCCTACAGCTACCATCCAGAATGTCGAACGGAAGATTTTCAGCGGATCAACAGACGGAGTTGATGCAAAAGATGCGTGAAGAGTTTCTACACCAGTTTGACGTACTTCGTCAGGCAAACGAAGCAAACGTGGCTCAGATCGCCTTGCTTCAACAGCAGAATAACACTCTGCAAACGGCGCTGGCTCAGTTGGCACCACCGCCACCAGTGGGTGACATAGCAGCACCCCCTAGTCAGAATATTCCTCCGATTACTGGACTTCCGCCTGATGGGGCTCCACCTAATGGGGCATGACCCAATGAGGCTCAGCCGAATGAGGTTCAGCAACAACGGAAGGCAAGATCTGAGGCTGCGGCTTCAGATAACGTCCCTCGTCGCACGCAGGATGAGCAAGTCGAATCCAGCCATATGCTTACGGTGTGGTCCAATGGAATCCCAGATGGTGTAGGTGTTCAGGATGCCTTTGACGAGAAGAGACTCCTGAAGATTCAGACACCTGCCGAGATGGCTAGAGAACACAAAAATTCATTGGTCAAATTTTCTTTCACTGACGATGTGTATCTGGTTGAGAGGCCCAAAAAATTTACCTTGCCTTCTTTCACCCAGTTTGATGGAACAAGGGATCCTTCTCAGCACCTAGATCATTTCGATCAAAAGATGGCTTTGGATGATCGTAATGACCCTTGGATGTGCAGAGTTTTTCCTACTAGTTTGACAGGAGTAGCACTAGAGTAGTTCAGGAATAAACCGCATAAGTCCATCCCGGATTACGTAACTCTATGCACCATGTTCCTGGCACAGTATTGCGGAAATAAGAAGCAAAAGAAGAACATTGCCAGCCTCTTAACCGTAAGGCAGAAAAGGGGGGAAACATTGCAGGA